TTCAGGTTTATCTCTCTATATATATATATATCTGCTTATCATATTCATATATATGTATATATTCTTTTTCAGATTCTTTTCAATTATAAGTTATTACCAACCCAGAATTTTAAACTGATAAAAAGTCATACATGTAAATGTCATGAGTTTTTACATAAGGAATCTTCCTAGAAAGAGCAGGGACCAACCATGCATGATTCTCCCATAACTAAATGAAATAATACATGAAGGAATGAACACCTGTTTGTTTTCAACAATCCAAATTAATAAAAAATTATTTCCTAAATGTAATACATTTTAAGAAAATGCACACACATACACACACAGTTAAATCCCAATGGCAGAAACTAAAGGCAGAAATTTCCTGACCATAATGTAACAGAAACTTTCAATTAGAAACAGATAACAAAACGAACCACTTAATTTAAGCATGTGTAATATGATATATGTGGGGTTTCCCTAGTAGCTCAGTCATTTAAGAATCTGCCTACAATGCAAGAGACGTAGGATCCATCCCTGGGTCGGGAAGATCTCCTGGAGAAGGGAATGGCCACCCACTCCAGTATTCCTGCCTGGGAAATCCCATGGACAGAGGAACCTGGTGGGCTACAGTCCATAGTGTCGCAAAGAGTCAGACACGACTGAAGCAACTTAGCACCCAGGCATGCAAATGCAATGTAAAAAAGATGTGGGGATTGGTGGGTCTTAAGAACATACAGATGAGTTTTTACATCAGTGCTTTTATGAGCAGGTACTTTATGTATTTGCATTACAAAGTTGGTAAATGTGTTAAACATACCAATTTTTGTAATCCTTTGAGTATATGCCATATTTTTTCTAATATTCTACATACCGTTTCTCTATAAAGTCTTCAAATTTTTCTCATATGAAAAAGACAGCTTTGTCATATAATTAAAGCTATGCTTCGTCCCACCTTGAAAAAATTTCACATGTTAACTTTTCAAGAAATTTAAAAATTGTGGAATAAATTTTATAACTAAAAGGTTATCTTTTAACAAGGAATTGCTAAAATAAAATGATTTCCCCATGATTGCCTTTAAGAGACTCGTTTCTATATTCTGCTGTATTCCTTTAAGAAAAAAAACTGTCTCTTTTGCCTAATTTAAAAGTTAATTACTGTGCTGTCATTGTGCAATTGACTTTTTTAAAGGAATCTATCTCTTATCATCTTTAAATTTCAAATAACATGATGACAAGTAAAGGCATCATTACATTCTTCCAGTGTCAGAGTCCCAGATGAATAATCAATAATAACTTAGTATGCATATGTATAAAAATTATAATGATTAGATGAAACTTTTGCACATATTTTTCAAAGATGCACCTATGCATAAAATTTTATTTTGTTTAATTGTAATTACATGGTACATTCTTTTAAACATAATTATCAAGGTATCGTCTTCAGTTCCATAAATTACTACATGAATGAAACAACAACAATTCAAAGTACTATTAAAGGGGTACAGATGAAGGCACACGTGATCCAAAGAAAGAGAGCCTTTTGCAGGTTTTGGAAAGATGGTCACAGTTACAATGCTTGATGAATAATGACCACAGTTTCCAAGAATCCAGTTAAGGATGAGGAAAACCAGTGGTGTGATATATAGATTGCTGGATGGGGGAGGGCGTGGAGTATGTATTCTGTCTGCAAGTAAGATAGCACTTCCCCTGGAATCATGTGATTTGATAAAACATAAAATAAGAGAAAATTTTAAGTGAATATGACTAAGAATATTTTCAGCAACCTTGAATAGCTGACTCATATGCTTTTATTCTATTGATTAGGCAACGGGTAGTCATGATGATTGTTTTAACCAAAGAGGAAAAGTATATATGTAACTTCACTTGAGCAATATTTGATATTCTGCTAATAAAAGGTCAAGGACAGAAAGCCTAAACTCAAGCAATTGATGAATCACTGTTCTGCTCTAGTGCTTCTCAAACGTCAGGGTGCCTTAACATCACCTGCAAGGCTGTCTAAGTATAAGTTACTGGGACCCGTGCTCCCCAGAGCACCGGATGCAGTAGGCCCTGCATTTCTGTAAGCTGGAATGTGGCGCTGACGTTGCCAGGCTGAGGACCAGCCTGGGGGACCACCGATAGAGCAGGTCAGTGGGAGCGCGGGCTCCCCAGATGGCTCAGTGGTGAAAGAACACACCTGCCAATGCAGGAAACACAAGTTCAGTCCGGGGCTGGGAAACCCCCAGGATGAGGAAATGACAACGCACTCCTGTATTCTCGCCTGGAAAATCCCATAGACAGAGGAGCCTGGCGGTACAGCCCACAGGGCTGCAAAGGAGTTGGACACAGCTTGGAAACTAGACCACCACCGCCCAAGATACCTGAACTACTGTGGTTCACTAGGACCGTACTGGACTAGACAGGATGGAAAGTCTAACTGTGGCCAAAGAGAGGGAGTTTGCTTTCCTCCCCTACAAATCCTAAAGGAATATCTCCATGGACCGTGCAGCTGCTCAAGAATGTCACTAAAAATCAGGACTTCTTCGTCATTTCTGATCTGCATGCCGTGCGGCGTTAATCCTTGTGGTTTCACCACGGCTACTGTACCTCCAGGCACTGTGTCCCTGTTCTGGGTGTCAACGAGGCAAACCCTCCTAGAGAGGCTTTTTAAATTTTTTGTTAAAAGGACTATCTCATCCAGGGATTTACACTGACATCTCAATAGCCAAGTGTGTGTCATAAGACTTTATCTCTCCAGCTCTAAAGGTAGTTGGATGGAAAGCAAAGCAGACTACTGGCTGGCACATTTGTCTTCCTGAACAAAGTCAGGATTCTTCTGACAAAGCAGTGGTCATGGGCATTAGGTGGGTGACTGACAGTGTTTGCTACACAGAGGAGGAGAATGTGATTGTAGACATGAAAGGCCTGAGAAGATGTAGACCTTGAAAACTGATTTCTAAGCTTTTCACATCCTTCTAACCTTAGTTTAAATGTAGCTCCTCTGGAAATCCTTACTTGACCCACAACTCTCAAGTTAAACCAAAGGCTTCTATTATTTAGCCTTGGCAACTGGCATAATTAATCACGAGGTAATTGACTGGAGAAGAGCATTCAGAACATCTACAACTGATGGAGCTCTCATCCCAGACAGGAGGGTGAGATCAGATGCCTTCTGGCCTTAATAGAACTGTTTTTCAAGAAAAGTGGTGACCTTCCTGGGGAAGGGTCTTTGAGAGTGCTGGAGCCTGGGAAAGGGGCAGTGTGTAGGTTCTGGTTCTGGGTGTAAGGGGAAAAGGCATAAAGGAAAGCTCTGCCCACACAAGCCGTTCATTTCAGGAGAAATACTGCCTCCTTTTAAAAAAGGACAGGCTATATTAAAAAGAAGAAAGGAGAACATTTTTTAAAAGGAGACTTTGGAAGTGGAAAATATGATGCAAAAATTAAAAAAAATCCTCTGGAGAGACTAAGAAATAAAAATGGGAGAGTTCAGAGTCACATTAATGTACTTGAAAAAGCTCAAGTTGAACAAGTTTTTCTCCATCAGAAAATGAAGGGGGAAAAAGGAAGAATGAAATGAAACAGAAGAGTTTAAGACATGAATAAAAAGATGCAAGAGACTCAGAATTCAGCTAATAGGAGTTGGAAAAAGTAGAGAACAGAAATAACGAGGAAGAGAAAATAATCAAAAAATGATAGACTAGAATGTCCCTGGCTGGAGAAAATCGTAAGTCCTTAGACTGAAAGGGCATTTTTAACATACTGAGTAGAAAGAAATATGATACATTCAGAATGAGGGTGATGAAAAAACTTTCAAAATATTTCAGGAAAAGGAAGGCAGAAGAAAACATACACACACAAAGAGACATCCTACCTACAAGGAACAAATAAATACCCAAGTATCAAAAGTCACTCAGATGCTGGAAAACAGCAGTGCTCAGTGACCACAGAGTTTAGAGCTTTGACCTTCTGAAAAACTGCAAATGGAAAAGATGTTGAACTCAGAATTTTGTAATCATTCACATTGAAAATAGAATTTTATAAAGTATCAGTACAGAATGAGAGCAAAGGAAAGATGATATTACACAGGTTAAGAATTCAAAACGGTTACTGTCAACACACCCTATATGTATTTTTTCCAGGTCTGTTGAGATGTAATCGACGTGTAACGTTGTATGAGTCCAAGGCGTCCAACATAATGAGTTGATATGTGTATGTATTACAAAGTGATCTCCATTATAAGTTAACACCCATCACTTCATATAGTTACAAAAGTTTCTCTTATGCTAAGAATTTTTAAGACCTAATCTCTTGTTGTTCAGTCACCAACTCATGTCTGACTGTGACCCCATGGACTGCAGCACACCCAGCCTCCCTGTCCCTCACCATCTCCCAGAGTTTGCCCAAGTTCATGTCCATTGACTCGGTCATGCCATCCAACCATCTCATCCTCTTTGCATCTTTTAAATATAGAACAGAGTGTTGTTAACTCTGTCACCATGCTATATAAGACACCCTCGGAGTGAAGGCAGCTTGTATAACACTTTTCACATCGTATCACAGGTAGATTTTCAGATACCTCTTCCATACCTCTTTCTTCATGAACTATTACATCTCCTTGAGACAACAGCAATATTTAATTCATCTTTGTGTATGTGCATCTTGCGCGCATACGTGCTCAGTCGCTAACTCCTGTCTGATTCTTTTCAACATCACGGACTGTAGCCCACCAGGCTCCTCTGTCCATGGGATTCTCCAGGCAAGGATACTGGAGTGGGTTGCCATTTCCTCCTCCAGGGGATCTTCCCGACCCAGGGATCAAACCTGCGTCTCCTGCAATTCCTGCATTGACAGGTGGATTCTTCACCACTGAGTCACCTGGGAAGCCCAGTGCATCTTTCAGCGCCTGATAAACAACTGTTTAGTATGTTTAGTAAAGAAAACACGGGGAAAGGGAGAGAAAGGAGAGGAAGCTATTTCTATGTCCGGGATCAGTCTCATCGCAGGCACCTTGGACTCACATCATGGAAAGGAGCAGTACACGTCTGCAGGTTGGGTTTGTGAGAAAATTCCAAAACTTTCTGTTCCAGCCCAGTTTCTGCTGGGAGCAAAAAGGGCTGCAGAAAGGAGTGGAAACAGCGTGAAATGGAAGGATAAGGGTACATAAGGTGAGCAGCCAGCTTACAAGCGGGAAAGGCAGCCCAAGGCTGTTGTCCGAGGGGCGTCTCACCTTCGGAGCCCCAGCGTGCAGCAGGCCCGGCTTGCAGCCGCGTTGGAAGGAGCCGTCATCCCACTGAGTCTGAGACGGCTCGGAGCCCACCAGCAAAGCGGTTGAGGGACACTGTGGCCAAAGTACAGACTCTCGGCAGCCTGGCGCTGAGCCTCTGTGGCTGGAGTCCACCTGCACCGCCCACAGGAGGGCAGGGCACGGCGCGCCTGTCTCAGCGTTCCTGTGTTAAACCCGCCAGCGGGGCTTCCCTGGAGGTCGGTGGATGAGCACCCGCCGCCAACGCAGGAGACACGAGCTTGATCCCCGGTCCGGGAAGACTCCGCGGAGCAACTAAGCCTGTGGGCCACGCCCACTGACGCCCACTCGGCCCAGAGCCCATGCTCCCCACCAAGAGAAGCCGCCTCAGTAAGAAGCCTCACTGCAACTGGCGAAAGCCCACGCATGCAACAAAAGCCAGCACAACCGAAAACAAATGAATAAACTAGAAAAAGATAATTAAAAATAAATTCAGCATCTTTTCATGTGTTTCTTAGCCATCTGTATGTCTTCCTTGGAGAAATGTCTGTTCAGTTCTTTGGCCCATTTTTTGATTGGGTCATTTATTTTTCTGGAGTTGAGCTGGAGGAGTTGCTTGTATATTTTTGAGATTAATCCTCTGTCTGTTGCTTCGTTTGCTATTATTTTCTCCCAATCTGAGGGCTGTCTTTTCACCTTGCTTATAGTTTCCTTTGTTGTGCAAAAGCTTTTAAGTTTCATTAGGTCCCATTTGTTTATTTTTGCTTTTATTTCTAAAATTCTGGGATGTGGGTCATAGAGGATCCTGCTGTGATTTATGTCGGAGAGTGTTTTGCCTATGTTCTCCTCTAGGAGTTTTATAGTTTCTGGTCTTACATTTAGATCTTTAATCCATTTTGAGTTTATTTTTGTGTATGGTGTTAGAAAGTGTTCTAGTTTCATTCTTTTACAGGTGGTTGACCAGTTTTCCCAGCACTACTTGTTAAAGAGGTTGTCTTTTTTCCATTGTATATCCTTGCCTCCTTTGTCAAAGATAAGGTGACCATAGGTTCGTGGATTTATCTCTGGGCTTTCTATTCTGTTCCATTGATCTATACTCATTATCAGAGAAATGCAAATCAAAACCACAATGAGGTACCATTACACACCAGTCAGGATGGCTGCTATCCAAAAGTCTACAAGCAATAAATGCTGGAGAGGGTGTGGAGAAAAGGGAACCCTCTTACATTGTTGGTGGGAATGCAAATTAGTACAGCCACTATGGAAAACAGTGTGGAGATTTCTTAAAAAGCTGGAAATAGAACTGCCATATGACCCAGCAATCCCACTTCTGGGCATACACACCGAGGAAACCAGATCTGAAAGAGACACGTGCATCCCAATGTTCATCACAGCACTGTTTATAATAGCCAGGACATGGAAGCAACCTAGATGCCCATCAGCAGACGAATGGATGAGGAAGCTGTGGTACATATACACCATGGAATATTACTCAGCCATTAAAAAGAATTCATTTGAATCAGTTCTAATGAGATGGATGAAACTGGAGCCCATTATACAGAGCGAAGTAAGCCAGAAAGATAAAGACCATTACAGTATACTAACACATATATATGGAATTTAGAAAGATGGTAACGATAACCCTATATGCAAAACAGAAAAAGAGACTCCAATGTATAGAACAGACTTGTGGACTCTGGGAGAAGGCGAGGGTGGGATGTTTCAAGAGAACAGCATTGAAACACGTATATTATCTAGGGTGAAACAGATCACCAGCCCAGGTTGGGTGCATGAGACAAGTGCTCAGGCCTGGTGCACTGGGAAGACCCAGAGGGATCGGGTGGAGAGGGAGGTGGGAGGGGGGACCGGGATGGGGAATACATGTAAATCCATGGCTAATTCATTTCAATGTATGACAAAAACCACTGCAATGATGTAAAGTAATTAGCCTCCAACTAATAAAAATAAATGAAAAAAATAAATAAATAAATAAATTCAGTTCAGTTCAATCACTCAGTTGTGTCTCACTCTTTGCAACCCCATGGACTGCAGGACATCAGGCCTCCCTCTCCTTCACCAACTCCCTGAGTTCACTCAAACTCATGTCCATTGAGTCGGTGATGCCATCCAACCATCTCATCCTCTGTCGTCCCCTTCTCCTCCCGCCTTCAGTCTTTCCCAGCATCAGAGTCTTTCCCAACAAGTTAGGTCTTCCTATCAGGTGGCCAAAGTATTAGAGCTTCAGCTTCAGCATCAGTCCTTCCAATGAATTAAACCAACAAATTTAACTTAAATAATTTAACTTAATTAGTTAATTTAATTTAATTAAACTAAAAAAATAAATTAAGCTAACTTAAAAAAATCTCAGAGGCTCCCCACGGGTCTGAAGACCTAGGACTGTCCACGTGGCACGGCCATCCCTGGAAGTCCCCAGGCCCAAGGATTCGCAGAGGCTCCGGTGAGGAAACCAGTCTCCGCTGCTCCTCAGCACAGCAGCTCCTCCCCGCTGCGGACGCTGCTCAGGTGTCTCCGCTTGCACACCCGGCCCTGCCCTCCGCCCTGGGCTTCCAGGTTCAAACTCTTCTTTCTTCCCGAGGTCTTCCCTGCAGCCTCAGGCCAGGTCTCCTGGATGGCACTCTCCGGAGCACACGTCCCCTCCCCAGGCCTGTTGCCAGCGGAGTTAGAGCTCTCTCTTACTAAGTTTAGCACTTCCCATTCCCTCTGGGTTCTAGGCCTTCAAGGTTAAAGGCAAGTCTGTCTTTGTACCAAGCTCCAGGAAGCCCAGGGTCCACACCGTGCATTCACAGTGGAAGCTACATCACCCCCAAAGGGGCAAAAGGGAGTTCCTTGGGGAAATGAAAACAATCTCACTCCTCCTCTGTGTAGATCAGACATCTATATACAGAACAAAAATGCATATTCCATGTATTTTGTGCTATTAAAATTTTATGGGGCGCAGGAAGGCAATTAGGAGAAAATGTCTAAAAAGTTTCCTGGGATGGATGATGATGAAGACAAAACGAGGCAGGATAAGACGCTGACCCCCACGCCTCAGGCCCTGAAGAGTCACTGCTCGCTGCGCTCAGCCGTCTCTGGCTCTGCGACCCCACGGTCTGCAGCCTGCCGGGCTCCTCTGTCCACGGGATCTCCCAGGCAGGAACGCTGGAGTGCGTTGGTATTTTCTCCTCAAGGAGCTCTTGCTGACCCAGGGATCAAACCCGCATCTCTTGCATTTCCTGCCTTGGCAGGCAGACTCTTTACCACTAACACCACCTGGGGAGCCCTTTGTTGCAGATACGCTGCCGTATTTGTCTTAGATTCATATACATTTAGAAGGTGCTTTTAAGAAACAAACGTCATAAACAGAGCAAAGAGGAACGGAATTCCCAAAGTGTACCTAGATCACTGCAAAGCTCAGGTTTGCAAATTCAGTCAGTGCACAGGCGGATATTTAAGGTAACTTTTCAGCTTGGAGGCTGACCTTCCCGGAGGCTCACAACACTCCATTCTCCTCTCACAAGATTTCTACACTTAACACTATTAATAAATATGATTACAACAAGCACCATGACAGTGTGCCGTCAGAGAGGATGCACCAGGGAGAACTGATCTTCTAACGTGAAGATTTCCGTCTAGTGAGCAGGGACCTTTGCCAACTGAGATAAAGCACGTTTAGTCAGAGTAGGGTACATGGTGGCTGGGTGGGAAAAAAATCCAGTTGCCAATACAGGAGACGCGGGTTCAGTCCCTGGGTGGGGAAGGTCCCCTGGAGGAGGAAATGGCAACCACTCCAGTATTTTTGCCTGGAAAATTCCATGGACAGAGGAGCCTGGTGGGCTACAGTCCATGGGGTCACAAAGAGTTGGACACAGCTGAGCACACATGCACACACAAGCATGTATTAGACACTCAATATTATTGTTAGTTACTGTTTCTCTAACACTAGTGGCAGTAATATTTGTAGTGCTACTATTATTCATCTCCTCATTGTGATATCAGCACATGAAGCCCAGCATTAAAGTAAGCACGTCATTAAAACCTGACAAATAAAATACAATTCTAGCCAAGGAATGTCTTTCCCCTCCATTATGATCCTTTTGCATTTTCTGGAACCAGTATCAGGTAAAGACGAAACATGCAGGCCCTTTTATTTAACAATTTTTATAAAACCAGGTGCCACGCCTGGGATGGAGTTTTAGCTTGTTTTCACTTGGTCTCGCTCCAGACTAGATGTGTTTATGATTCCAAAAAGTTAACACAGAATTATTACCGTATTATTTCATTTTTATCCAATGAGCCTATTTCGTCCCAGATCACAGCCCTTCCTATTTTGATGCCGCAACTGATAGAGTCCACACCTGACCTGGAATACTCATTGCCACTTACTCACTCTGCGGCTGTCGTCATGCTTGCCTCCAAACATTAATGAGAAAGACGCAGGCCTGTGGCTGCCGCGGAGAGCGCTGGGGGTGGGAATCAATCTTGGAGCCAGCGCTGGGCGAGAGGACTCCGCCGGGCGGCCTGCCGTGCCGACTGCGCTGAGGAAACTCAGTCCCTTTTCCTTAGACATGACAAACGAGCCTCGAATGAAACGTGTCTGTGAGATTTCAGCAGCTGGGCACCGACCACCCAGCTCTGAAAGGCGATAATTACCCATCAGTGTGGAACACAATCTGGAGTCCTGGCAGCAGCCTGTGGTTTGAGGATTAGAGCCGCGTAAGAACTCACGGGTGTCAGACGTCTGTGCGTGCACACAGCATACGCATGCATGTCCTCTTCTGAGCAGACGCACGTGGCGCTACGGCTGGAAGGTCGGGCAGGAGGCCGCGTGCGCCGGGCCGGCGCCCTTGCTGCCGCTTTCAGGGTAGTCTGTATACCTGCCCTGTCGCTGCCGTTCAGTCACTACGCGTCTGACTGTTCTGCACTCCATGCTCGCCAGGCTCCTCTGGCCCTGGGATTCCCCAGGCAAGAACACTAGAGTGGGTGGCCATTCCCTTCTCCAGGGGATCTTCCTGACCCAGGCATTGAACCTGCATCTCCTGCATTGGCAGGCAGATTCTTTACCGCTGAGCCACCGGGGAAGTGCTTATGTGTAG